TACTGTACACTCAGAAAAAGAAGCACACTTCAGATTTTTAAATGTATAGAGCTCTCTCTCTCTCTCTCTCTCTAGTCGGATTTATTATTTAATAATTATTATTTCCATTGAAGCAATGTGTTCAGATGAAAGCCAGCTGGATTTGAATCAGAGCATTATTGGAGAATGTCAAGTTTCCAGCAGAACATCACTCATTGAGTAGCACTGTGATAGTGGGAAACATGGCATCAGAATTAAAAGTGTTAGCAGTCAGATAGTTGGTCTGAGTGAAGGGGAACTTTGTCAGCCTCAGATCAAAGCCTGGACCAAAAGAAAGCAGAACATTGAGCTCTAAAACACTTTGTGGAAAGTGGATCAGTTGTATCCAAGGAGGATCAGACGGACCAAAAGTGAGCATACCGTCAGAAGATCAATACATGTTTGTTCACTGAGAGATAGAAAAGTGATGTAATCACCAGTCCATCATATCCTAAATAAAGAACTCAAGACTCCAATCAGCAGAAGTCCTGTTAAAAGAAAACTGTCTAGTCGTGGTCTCAGAGGATGAGAAGCGTCTCTAAACCTTACCTCAGGAGGGAAACAAAAAGTCTTGGCATGGGTTGAGATAGAGCAGCATTTCACAGTAGATGTTGCAAATAAAGTTAGTTTTACTGATGAATCCATGTTAGAGATTTGTAGCACCGACAGAAGGGTGTATGTGAGGAGACCAACAGGACGGACAATGATACCACAGTCTACCAAACCCACAGTAAAACTCATTATTCATTACGTCCATGAATTTTTCTTGAGGTGGATGCTGAGAAAGACAAACATTCCTGACATGATAAAAAACAACTTCACTATTGTGGTCTCAGACTTTTGGACCACAGGACGCACACATACGTTGGCTGGACGTGTGACCATGTAGCTTCAGGCCTCCTAACCTGACAGAACCAGTGTACCCAGTAATGGACGCATGTCAAAACACATTTGGTCCATGAAAAAAGTCCATCCATCCATCCATCCATCTTCTCCCGCTTATCCGGAGTCGGGTCGCGGAGGCAGCAGACTTAGCAAAGCCGCCCAGACTTCCCGATCCACACACACCTCCCCCAGCTCTTCTGGGGGGACCCCTAGGCATTCCCAGGCCAGCTGGGAGACATAGTCCCTCCAGCGTGTCCTGGGGCTTCCCCGAGGTCTCCAAAAAGTCCTGGTCTCTAAATACAACAATTGTTGCTGGTGTGTTGACTTAAATTAGTGTCGAGACAATTTCAGGTTGTTGTCTTAAATGATTGTATTTATTTTGGACCCAGGAAGCAAATTCTATAAAATAGAAAACACAACACACTCTACTTAGTTCTTCTTTCTCTACCAGGCCTTTATACCAAACTGAAAGACAACAGGGTATGAACCTTGCTATACAGAGAAAAGACGAAAGTATGAACTTTTGTCTTTTCTCTGAATAACAACTTTTTCCCTAAGCATATATCAGACACTGACACACAACAACACTTTCTGATGTCAAAGGTTTCAATGCCCCATTTAAGTTATATAGCAGATGACTGAATAGAGACTCAACATCCACACTCAGCAAGCACTTTATCAGGAACAGCAGACTCATTAGCTTTTGCTCTCGAACAGCCTCAGGTGTTAGAGGAATGTTTCTAACAGACTGTGGAGACTGTTAATATGATTCATCACATCATATATGCAGATTTTTCAGCTGCACATTCGTACTGAGAAATCTCCTGTTCTACCACATTGCTCTGTTGGATTAATTTCTAGTGACTGGGGAGGCCTCTGACTGAGCTTCAACTTAAGTCATGTTCAGGAAATTTGTGAAAACTTTTGCTTTGTGACATGGTTCATGATCCTGCATTAAGGAGCCAGTGCAAGATGCTTGTGGCTATAAAGTCCTTCATATGGTAAACAAAAATATAACAACTTGTGGCATTCAAGCAACAACTGGGTCTTAAGGCGCTCTAAGCATGCAAAGGACACCCACCATTAAACCAGCAGCAGCAGCAGCCTGGATGCTTGTGCACATAGGTTCATAGATTCATCAGGTTAGACTTTGTTGTTCCATCTTCAGCTGTCCAGTTTTGGCGTTCCTGTGACACTACCAGAATAAATTGCAATGGCTGCTTACATAGAAAATGAATAAGATGCTCTGAAATGATGAATCCGGTGGACACACATTGTAAGAATTTGACCCGGGCGCTATGTAACATCTGACGAACCAGTAGATGTGTTTTAACTGGATGCAG